AATCTCACACATATCATCTTGGAAATCACCTTATAGATGACATTACAGCAAGCTATAGGCCTAAATTGTGTAACTTTAGAAGCGTTATCAACTTTTGGAACTAAAGTTAAAGTTGTGGCATTAATTTGCTTAAGAATCTTCCCACTCTCAAAAAAATCAAGAACAACTTTGACAATGTCATCACCAATTAAGTCCCAGGAAGCTTTAAACAGCTTGCTAGAGAGGCCATCAGGTCCTGGAGCTTTATCATCCTCAATATTCCATAAAGCATGCTTAACATCAGCCACAATAAACTTCCTGCAAAGACTTTCTCCCTGTTCTAAGCTCAACATAGGCCCCTCATCACACTACCATGCACTTTACCTGTAGCAAAACCAATAGTGCCTAGCAAACTTTTATAGTAGTTCAGAAAAGCTTCATAGATTTTGTCAAGATTAGTAACCAAACTTTCATCATCTGCAACTATTGAGAAAACACTATTTTGAATTCTTCTCTTCCTAATAACAGCATGAAAGAAAGCAGAATTCGGGTCCCCTCCCTTGAGCTAGTGAGCTTTAGCTTTCTGTTTTAAGAATTGATAACTTGCTCTATGAGTATTAGCAAACAACATCCTAGCTTCACTCTGCTGGGTAATTAACAATTCATTCCCATGATACGCTTGTAAAGCACTTTGAGCATCTCTCGACTTGACTTCTACAGCAGCATCAGAAGTCTCAATACAAGAATAATCATTAAGTTTAAAGTTTTCAACTTCTTTTTCACCTTTCTCAACTTAAGCACCACTTTTTAAATATAAGTGCCCTGAGTCACAGTCTGCCAGGCTTCCTGTACCCCATTCTTGAACTCAGAAGCATCCACAAACATGTTAAAGAATCTAAAGGTATTCTTAGTCTTGAAATCATTGCTAAACATCTTAACAACATAAGGACAGTGATCCATTAAACTCTTAGGGAAAAAAGTAGCCTTCAAACTAGGATGATCATCATTCTAAGCCTCATTCACTAACACCCTGTCAAGCTTAGAATAAACCATATCCACCCCTTCCTGTTTATTATCCCAGGTGTAATACATGCCCCCTACCTTCCAATCCACCAGACCACTTTGCCTCAAACATAACTTAAAAGGCTCCACCTCTTGCAATGTAATAGGTGTTCCTATTCTTTCATCAATATTCAACACATTATTAAAATCACCCCCCCAACAATAAAAGGGCCATTCATTGTGATCCCTATGCTCCTAATTTGATCCCACACCTCTGCTCTTAGAGCAACCTCATTTAATCCATAAGCCCAAGTACAAAATAAAGTGTACCCAAAAGTTTTATGGATGATTTTCATATGAATCAACTGTATCTCCACCCTTATCACAGTAACTTCAAAGATCTAAGGTAGCTAAACCACCCAAATCCTACCACCATCATATTTTTCATAATTGGCCACAACTGACCAATCACTCCCTAATTTGGAAAACACCTTCCTAAAATTCTTAGCCTTTACTTTAGTTTCTAGGATTCCAAATAAACCTAACCCATGATTTCTCATAAACTAGGGAACATCACAAGCTCTACTAGGCATATTTAGTCCCTTAACATTCCAAAAACCCCAATTATCCATCAACATTTTAAGAGCATTCCCCCTCCTCCAAAATACTAAACCTATTACCAGTCCTTTCAGCACTTCTCACTCCAAGCACACTGGTATGCACTGTCTTTCCTTTGTCCATCATCCGACCCTTCATCACACCATTCTCATCCTTCTCGACATGAAGTTGTTCTGTATCATGTGCCTTTTCCATATTTTGTCCCTAACTAGGCTTCTAGACTAGCCTCCATTCCTTCCTAACTGCTTTCTTCTTCTGGTTCCTAGCCTTAACAACATGGTTAGGGCATTCAAAACTAAAGTTTCCAATACCACCACACTCCTTACACAATATAGGTTTCCATTCATATACAACCTACTGTACCATACATCTACCTACTTCATCCAGAAATTGAATGGTGTTAGGAAACTAACCATTAACACCCACATGAACCGTCAACCTAGCAGAATCAAGCCTCTCCTTAGCAGCAGTAGCTATATCAGTCTTGATAGGCTTTCCTATAAGAGATGCTAGCTTCATCTATGTAGATTGCCCCTAGAATTTCATATCTAGATCAGGCAATCTGATCCAAACAGGAACCTCAGTTATTGAATCTTCTGCCAAATTCAATCCTGGAAACCATTGCTTCATAATGACAAGTTTCCTATCAAACAGAATAGGTCCCATACCCATAGCCTTTTCATATCCTCAATTGTTTTGAATCTAACAAGAAATACCCCATTAGGCCTCATTGAAACTTTATCCACCCCTAATTTTCCCCAAAATCTTCGAACAAAACCATTCATAGCATTATAAGATGCATAGCAAACCAAAGAATATTTCCATAAATCAATCTCTGGTTGCACATCATCAGTAGTGATTTGCAATTTTCTAATCGCATTTCCTCCATTACCATTTCTTACACTAACCCATTTCCCCATTTACCCCCTAACAGGTTCAACCCTTCATCAACTATATTCTGAAACAAATCATCTCTCCAAGATGCCCTACTAGCACCATTAGTAGAAGTAGATTGAAAAATGGGATTACGCATAACAAGGGTTTGCAAAACAGAGCATCGTGGATTTAGGTTTGCACAATTTGGGGAAAAATTGTGTGCACCATTTCTAGAGCTCAAGGAAGCATCAACAATCATTAATGGAGTAGGATTAACAAAGTTATCCCCAGAAACATCATGGACAGAAGTTCGAGGAAGCTCAACATCAATAGAGTTTGCGGAGTTATGAATTACCTGAAGTCATTGACTGAGTTGCTCCTGATGTTGTACACGATCATCCTTAGTCACCTCCTCTACCTGGATCTCTTCCACCATTGAAGATTCCAACCAGCTTTCCACACCGAAACTTTTTCCAAAGCTACACTTTAATTTATTCCTTTCTCTTAGTGTAATTCCCAGTCATGGGTTTCGATTTTTTCTTCGATTTTTGCTTTTTCTTTGATTTTGAGTTAGAATTCTTGCTCCCCTTCGATTTCTTACCCTTAGACATAGCTCAATCCGAGGATTTGAAGGTTCGAAAATGGCGAGTTTCAAGGTTTTCTATCTCTAGGATTTTCTCTCTAGGACTAAAGAACCTTATGTTAATTGTGTTGTTTCTTCAATAATATGGGCAGTCACTTCCTTGGGGATGTACATATAGCCATTCAAAAGACATAGTTTTGTAGGAGTGGATCCAAAAAATTTATTCTGCTCTAGTGGAAAGAGAGGGAAAGCATGGCTTAGGAGTGGTTCAATTCATTGCCACCTTGTGGGCAATGTGGTTACACAGGAATAATATTAGAATGCATTCCAGCAAGTTAGAACCAAATGGCATTCTACAGCAATCTCATTTGCTAGTTCAAAGGTGGAGTTGTGCTATGGGCAATGCTACTGATAGCTGTACAAAACAGAGGGCCGCTTCACAACAATGTTGGGTATAGAGAAAAGGCAACCTAACTTCCCCAACAATCTTAAAGTGGTAGACGCTTCATGGCGAAAACAAGTTAACAAGAAGCAGCATACAGTGGCAGTTGGCTGGTATGGGATGATAGGAGATGACTTCCACAGCTCTGGAGTGAAGAGGCTGCTAGCGTCAACTGTCTTACAGGCGGAGTGTAAAGCAATGGAATCCGGGCTACGTGAAGCATTAGGGAAGCATGAGCAGGTAATGATCAAGACAGACAACCAACAAGTTATAAGATTAATGAAGTAAAGCAAGCACCAGCAAGCATTAGGCCAATCATCGAGGAAATATGCAATTCAGCCTTACAATTTTCCTTTTGTCTATGAATTAAATTACCTAGGAATCAAGTGGAACAAGCCCATAGTCTAGCAACGAAGGCAACAATAATACAAACTTGTTTGACATGCTGCCAAAAAAAAAATAAAAAAATAAAAGGAGAAGAAAGGAGAGAGGGAACCCAAAAAAATCAAAGCGAAAAAAAGAAGGGGTAGGGGTCATTAAAAATCACGTGCAAGTCATGTGCTCAGGTTAACGCCGAAAATATGAGTCACTTGGCATTTTACAACAAAAATTTTATTTTGGGTGGTCTTAGACAACAATTTTTATTTTGAGTGGTTTTAGACAAAAAAAATTGGATTAAAAAGGTGGTTTTAGACAAAATTTCCTAAAACTTTTAAATGTAGTGGTAGTAAAAAAACAATTTCGTTTTTCTTAGGTGGTAAAGGTCAAAATTTTTTTATTATGTTTGTAAAAAAATTAGGTCAAACTAATACATGAATAGTAAAAAAAGTCTAACGTCCTAGAAATTTTGGGACGAAAAGAGTAAAATATAATTGTATGTGTGAAATTGAAACAAATACAAAAAAATAGAGACAGTAGAATAACAATTCAATTTTACTAAAGGGATATTCTATGTATGATATAATCATCTCTTAATCATTAAACATCTCCATTGGTGAGACTCAACTTTGAATATTGAAATACAAAATCAGTTGTTTTTTTTACCTTCAATGGTGATACCCAATCCACTTCTCAATTTAGCAATTCATGTCAAGTCTAATTTCCCAATGGTGATACTCTCTAAAATATAATAATGTCACTTTCAATTTATGGGCCATCAAATTCATATTATAAGTTTTTCAAAATAAAAATAAAACTTAAATAAATTACAAATATATTATAATATTGATAAAGGGCTCACATTTTTTGTCAAATGAGACTCAAAGTTGAGTATCTAAACTTAACAATTTTCTTAGATACCAACTTATTGATATCCTTTGCAAAAAATACACTCTCTCTCCTAAAAAAAAACTCCTTCAAGTGTTGAAGATGGTCTAAGAATAGATATCCTTTTTAGTCAATTATTATTCTCAAAATTTAAACCTGTCCTGTTTGGCCATATGAAATACACGAATAAAAATAAATACTTCTAAATAATTTTGAACACTGCCAAGCAACTGGATGTTTGCTGGATCTACATCTGCACCCTGGTCACCTTATTTCTAAATATACTACATATTTTTCAAATTCATTCTCTCTCTCTCTAAACTAAACCCTTCTTCTTCTTCTTCCTCTTCTTCTTCTTATTATTATTATTTCCGATGCGATGTCATCATCGCGTCGTCCCCCTTACAACATCATCCCAATCCACGACCTCTTAGCCGACCACCCATCTCTCCGCTACCCCGAAGTTCGCGCCGCACAATCCGCTCTTCGAACCACCGGCGACCTGCGCAAACCACCTTACATCCAATGGGACCAACATTACGACCTCCTCGATTGGCTAGGCTTCTTCTTCGGGTTCCAGTCCGACAACATCCGCAACCAAAGAGAACACCTCGTGCTTCACTTGGCCAACGCTCAAATGCGCCTTCAACCTCCCCCCGACAACATCGACTGCCTCGACCATGCTGTTCTCCGCCGGTTCCGCCGTAAAATTTTGAAGAATTATACCCTTTGGTGCGGGTATCTTGGTCGGAGGTCTAGCATCTGGATCGTGGAGAATCGTCGGCGAGATGATGATTTACGGCGGGAATTGTTGTATGTTGCTTTGTATTTGCTTGTTTGGGGTGAGTCTGCTAATTTGAGATTTGTTCCTGAATGTTTGTGTTATATCTTTCATCATATGGCATTGGAATTGAACAAGATATTGGAGGATTATATTGATGAGAATACTGGCAGACCTTATATACCTCAAATTACTGGGGAGAATGCTTTTTTGGATCAAATTGTGAAACCCATTTATAATTCGATTAGAAAAGAGGTTGAGAGTAGTGGGAATGGGACGAACCCTCATAGTGCGTGGCGAAATTATGATGATATTAATGAGTATTTTTGGAGTAGGAGGTGTTTTGATAAGTTGAAGTGGCCAATTGATGAATCAAGTACTTTCTTTGTGGTTCAAGGGAGGAAGAGACATGTGGGTAAAACCGGGTTTGTCGAGCAACGATCGTTTTGGAATCTGTATCGTAGTTTCGATCGTTTGTGGGTGATGCTGGTGTTGTTCTTGCAAGCGTCGATTATTGTTGCTTGGGAGCAGGAGGTTAATGGGAGAGGGTACCCATGGTCTTCGTTGAGTCATAGGGAAGTTCAAGTAAAGTGTTTGACTGTGTTCTTGACATGGAGTGTGATGAGATTTGTACAGTCCCTTCTTGATATTGGAATGCAGTATCGATTGGTTTCGAGGGAGACTTTGACGGTTGGAGTTAGGATGTTATTGAAGTGTGTTACTTCTGCTGTGTGGGCGATTGTTTTCGGGACTTTTTATGCAAAGATATGGACGCAGAGGAACAATAATAGGGGATGGTCTGGTGCTGCTGAAAGGCAGATCATTAATTTTCTGCTGGCTGTTGCGGTTTTTGTACTTCCTGAGGTTTTGGCTTTGGTTTTGTTTATCATTCCCTGGGTTCGGAATTTTGTGGAGGAGACGAATTGGAAGATATTTTATATGATTACTTGGTGGTTTCAGACCAGGATATTTGTGGGTCGTGGACTGAGGGAAGGTCTTGCAGATAATATCAAATATACTCTGTTCTGGATTTTGGTGCTTGCTTCCAAGTTTGTGTTTAGTTATTTCCTACAGATCAGGCCTATGATTAAACCGACGCGTATCTTGGTGAATCTTAAGGATGTTGAATATGAGTGGTATGAATTCTTCCGTGGCAGTAACCGATTTGCAGTTGGGCTTTTGTGGCTTCCTGTTGTTTTGATTTACCTGATGGACTTGCAGATATGGTATTCTATCTACTCATCCTTTGTTGGTGCGGCAGTGGGATTGTTTTCTCACCTGGGTGAGATTCGAAACATGCAGCAATTAAGGTTGAGGTTTCAGTTCTTTGCTAGTGCAATTCAATTCAATCTCATGCCTGGGGAGCAGCTGTTAAATTCAAGTGGGATTAAAAACAAATTTAAGGATGCAATCCATCTGTTGAAGCTCAGGTATGGGTTTGGTCGCCCTTACAAAAAACTTGAGTCTAGTCAGGTGGAGGCAAATAAGTTTGCTTGGGTATGGAATGAAGTGATCAGTATTTTCAGAGAAGAGGACATCATAAGTGATAAAGAAGTTGAGTTGCTGGAGCTCCCTCAGAATACATGGAATGTTAGGGTCATCCGTTGGCCTTGTATACTTCTTTGCAATGAGCTGCTTCTGGCACTTGGTCAGGCAAAAGAGCTGGTTGATGCACCTGATAGGTGGCTTTGGCATAAGATATGCAAGAATGAGTACCGCCGGTGTGCTGTGATAGAAGCATACGATGCTATAAGGTATTTGCTGCTTGCAATTGTTAAAAAAGGTACTGAAGAACATTCTATCATTATGGTCTTGTTTCAAGAAATTGATCAGGCTATTGAGATTGAGAAATTCACCAAGACATATGATTTGAATGCTCTTCGAAAAATCCATGAGAAACTGAGTGTTCTTGTGAAGATGCTGATCCAACCTAAGAAGGTTGATCTCAGCAAGGTGGTGGATGCATTGCAGGCCCTTTATGAGACTGCCATACGGGACTTCTATCTAGATCAGAGACCTACCGAACGCCTGAGGGAGGACGGTTTGGCTCCTCGATCTGCTTCTGGAAAGAGCCTGCTTTTTGAGGATGCCATTGAGTTGCCTGGTGAGGATAATGAGTCCTTTTACAGGCAGCTCCGACGTTTGAACATCATTCTTACCTCCAAAGACTCTATGCACAATGTCCCAAATAATCTTGAGGCTAGACGGAGGATTGCCTTCTTCAGCAATTCCCTCTTCATGAATATGCCTCATGCCCCTCAGGTGGAAAAAATGCTGTCTTTTAGTGTTCTGACGCCTTACTACAGTGAAGAGGTCATGTACAGTAAGGAACAGCTGCAAAAGGAGAATGAAGATGGGATTTCTACCCTATTTTACTTGCAGACTATATATAAGGATGAGTGGGAGAATTTCATGGAGCGTATGCATCGAGAGGGTCTGACAGATGATAAAGAAGGTTGGGACTGTAAGCTTAGAGACCTTAGGCTTTGGGCGTCCTACAGAGGTCAGACCCTTTCTCGCACTGTTAGGGGGATGATGTATTATTATCGTGCCCTTAAGATGTTAGCTTTCCTGGATTCGGCATCTGAGATGGATATTAAGGAAGGGGCACTTGAACTTGCTACTGCGAGACAGAGCAGTGGTTTGGGTGGTTTTGGCTCTGCAAGGTTACCATCATCGAGAAGTGGGGGGAGTCTGAGTCGAGCCAGTAGTTCTATCAGTGAACTGTACAAAGGTCATGAGTATGGAACTGCTTTAATGAAATTTACCTACGTGATTGCATGCCAGATATATGGTACACAGAAGGCAGAGAAGAAGCCCCAGGCTGAGGAAATACTGCAATTATTAAAGCACAATGAAGCCCTTCGTGTTGCTTATGTTGACGAAGTTCCCACAGGAAGGGTTGGCAAAGATTACTACTCTGTTCTTGTAAAGTATGATCAGCAGTTAGAGCAGGAAGTGGAAATCTACCGAATCAAGTTGCCTGGTCCTATTAAGCTTGGAGAAGGCAAGCCAGAAAATCAGAACAGCTCCATTATTTTTACTCGTGGGGATGCTATTCAGACAATTGATATGAATCAAGATAATTATTTCGAGGAGACTCTCAAGATGCGGAATTTGTTGGAAGAATTCAGGCATAAGCATGGTATTCGCAAGCCAACAATTTTAGGTGTCCGTGAACACATATTCACTAGTGGTGTTTCTTCTATTGCTCGGTTCATGTCAGCCCAGGAAATGAGCTTTGTGACCTTGGGCCAACGTGTTCTTGCCAATCCTTTGAAAGTTAGAATGCATTATGGTCATCCTGATGTCTTTGATAGATTTTGGTTCTTGACTCGTGGAGGAGTTAGTAAAGCATCCAGAGTCATTAATATCAGTGAGGATATATTTGCTGGCTTCAATTGCACACTACGAGGTGGTAATGTCACTCACCATGAATACATTCAGGTAGGCAAGGGAAGGGATGTCGGCTTAAACCAGATATCAATGTTTGAGGCTAAAGTGGCCAGTGGAAATGGTGAGCAGGTTCTCAGCAGAGATGTATATCGTTTGGGTCATAGGTTGGACTTTTTCAGGATGCTGTCCTTCTTCTACACTACAGTTGGTTTCTTTTTCAATACAATGATGGTAGTTCTGACCGTTTATGCATTTTTGTGGGGCCGCCTATACTTGGCTCTGAGTGGGATTGAGGCTTCTATTGAGGCGGACTCTAGTAATAGCAATGCAGCACTTGGCACGATATTGAATCAGCAGTTCATCATCCAGATAGGTCTGTTTACGGCTCTTCCGATGATTGTTGAAAATTCTCTAGAACTTGGATTCCTCAATTCTATCTGGGACTTCATTACCATGCAGCTACAACTTTCATCTGTTTTCTTCACATTCTCAATGGGTACCCGTACCCACTACTTCGGCAGGACAATTTTACATGGAGGTGCCAAATATCGTGCTACTGGACGTGGCTTTGTTGTGCAGCACAAGAGTTTTGCTGAAAATTACCGACTGTATTCCCGCAGCCATTTTGTGAAAGCAATTGAACTGGGGCTGATACTCACAGTGTATGCTGGATTTAGCCCTGCAGCAAAAGGCACATTTGTGTACATTGCTCTGACCATCTCAAGTTGGTTCTTGGTGATATCATGGTTACTGGCTCCCTTTCTGTTCAATCCTTCAGGTTTTGACTGGTTAAAAACTGTGAATGACTTTAGTGATTTCATGAACTGGGTCTGGTATAGCGGTGGAGTTTTTGTGAAGTCTGAGCAGAGCTGGGAGGCTTGGTGGAATGAGGAGCAGGATCATCTGAGAACAACTGGCTTATGGGGGAAGCTTCTGGAGGTTATACTGGATCTCCGATTCTTCTTTTTCCAGTTTGGGATTGTATATCAGCTGGGTATTGCTGCTGGAAGTAAAAGTATCCTTGTTTATTTGCTGTCATGGATCTATGTCTTTGCTGCTATTGGAGTCTTTGTTCTAACATCATATGCTCGATATAAATATTCTGCTAAAGATCATATCTACTACCGTCTCATCCAGTTCCTGGTTATTGTCTTGATTATTCTTGTGATAGTGGTGTTGCTGAAGTTCACTAGTCTGGAAATTGTTGACCTGTTTACAAGTTTCTTGGCATTTATTCCAACTGGCTGGGGTATTATTTCTGTTGCCCTCGTGCTTCGAGGATTTATACGGAAAACTGTTCTTTGGAGGGTTATTATGGCCATGGCTCGTCTGTATGACATCATGTTTGGTGTGATTGTAATGACTCCTCTTGCATTTCTCTCTTGGATGCCTGGTTTCCAGTCAATGCAGACAAGAATCTTATTTAATGAAGCGTTCAGTAGAGGTCTACGGATATTCCAGATTCTAACGAATAAGAAGGCATAGAGATTCCTGACTTGAGAAAGGTATGATCAGATTTTTGATATAGATTGATTTTTGATCATTTCACTGCATTAGAAATATTAAATGCAGTTAAACACAACTATTGGTGATCTAACAAAAATAATTAGAACTAAAATGCATTGGATAAAACTGATTGAAATTTCCAGCAAATACAGTCCCCCAGAAAAAGAGGGTCAGACCTTGTTGAACATGAAGAATGAATATTGTAATGTACCAAAAGTCTTAGAGGCTAAAGAACTTACAGTTATTCTTACCCTGTCCATTGTCAGCTACATTTTTACACTTTGTTAACAAATTTGATAGTTGAGATTATTTTTATATATATGTGTGGTTGGGTAAGTATGTGTTAAATTCCTATGAACGTATATTTATTAATAAGATAAAGGAAAATTTGCTAATTACTAGCGCGTATTAATGTCATTTTGAAAATTACTACGCGTATTAAAAAACTTGTGACTTAATACCACAAAAGGTTTTAAAAATTTTATTTTACTACCAGGCTCCACTTTAAGCCAATTATGACGTCACTTTAGACCCTTAACTCACGTTTAACCTCTGGTTAAGCTTTTAAACGTCCTTAAAAAAAAGAGAAATAAAATCCCTCTAACCCATGGTTACCCCACTAACCCAACCCATTTTCTCTCTCTTCTACACTTTGACTTCAAACTCCATTGAAGAAGACTCTCTAAGACTTCATAATTGAAGCCTTCAACCCACACTTGCATTTCCAATCCATCGATTAACCTTGTCCCCTTAAACATCTTCTTGTCACATTTATAAAATAAAAATAAATAAAAACAAATCAAATCACATATCATGCTTATTTGAGAGTTTAATTCAAAAAAAAAAAATACAAAACCAATGTTAATCAACCAAAATCGCAATCCAAAAACCCTAAATTGTGCTAGGAATTGGGATTAATCAGATAGTAATAAGCAGAATGGTAGTGGGATAGAGCAGCAATTGGTTGTAATATTTAATCAGAGTAGTCAAATATTACAGTTAGGCCTTCTTTCGAGTGGAAGGTGCTCTCCAAACGCTACTCAATTTCTGGATGCCCTTTACATCATCCAAGCATCCAATAAATACTGCTTACAGCAAGCTTCTACAAGGATCCACAACATCCCTCCTTGCTAACAGAATATTATTCCCTAAACAAAAAGACTAACAAACCCCTGTAACTCCCTAACAGAATTACAAAAGCTCAAACAGAATTATTGAAAGCAAGTAAAATATCTCAGGGCTGAAAGACGCACGCAACTTCCTTCACTTAATGGGCTGGCGCTTCTTCCTAGCATAAGTCACCAGAATTCGAGGCTTGGGCTGATTGGGCTGATTCCTTGCAAATTTCAAAATCCCTAAAATTCGGAAAACCGTAGAATTGAAAATTGTAAAAGATTAATTTTTGAAAAGGAAATTAAACTTTTACCTGGATCAATTAGAGGATAGATGGGAAGAATTAGTGTGAATTTAGAGCAGTAAACTTGGAGGGATTTTACAAATGGTGAAGAGGGAGAAAGAAAGGAAAGTGGGTTTAGTTATGTTAGTTACAGGGGGTAACAATGGGTTAAAGGGATTTTAATTTTCTATTTTTTTAGGACATTTAAAAGCTTAACTAGGGGTTAAACATGAGTTAAGGGTCAAAAGCGACGTCATAATTGGCTTAAAGTGGAGCCTCGTAGTAAAATAAAAATTTTAAAAATTTTTGCGGTAGTAAGTCACAAGTTTTTTAATTCACGATAGTAATTTTCAAAATGACATTAATACACGGTAGTAATTGACAAATTTTCCTCCGATAAGTGAAACTATGCATCTCTTTTCTTTTGTTAAATATTCTCAATCAATTTTGAAATCAAGATAATTCTTACTTTCCCAATCCCTAAATAATAGGTTACATATCAGTAATCATGTTCAAGGAACTGTGTTAATATGCTGCAACTATCTTCAACATTTGAAATTATACGTCTCTACTGAATCAATGTAGTCTTTCTTTTGAATTCATTATCATGGTTGGTATGGGCAAGTCAAAGTTTTGACTAGTATATTTTTGAAGTCATGCTCTAATCGTTAGGGTTTTCGCCCTATTAAAGTACTCGATTATCTTATTCCACCTTGATTGTCCTTTACTACAATGCATTCCACATTGCTGGTCTGTTTGATATTCACACTTTAGGATGTGTGCTATTTTATTTATGTAACCAATCATTTGTGTTGTATGTAAGAAATTAATTAAGAAAAACCAGCGTTGGGTGTTTTCGAATTTATGTAATTTTGGTTATGACTTTTTTAATACGTGCTTGGTGTCTGTAATTATGAAATTAGATGTATCTGATTGGAAGTATGTCACCTTAATGCGCTCTGATGAAGCAAAGGCCAATTATTTGGATAAATGTATTAAGTATTTTGATTTTGCCTGAGCTTCTGATTGAGCTCTCTTTTTTCTTTGTTGATGCAGGTTCTGCACAGGCGTTATCATTGAAAATTTCTTGAAGAGTTGATGGTGGGAGGTTATATTTCTCAGTTTTGTGTAGTGTGAGGTGTTCTGTTGTGCTGTAATTAGTCCAATTGTCCTTTTGTCTAGTAACTTTAAGGGTGGTATCTATCTTTAGTTTCAACTTTTTTACCTGCTTGCTCTTTGGTTCTCTTTGGTTCTGCTTGAGTAGGAGGATAGATTCTAGTTTTGCTTGCACATTGTATCTAGCCGTTTGTTAAATTCTTTCTCACCATTCTTTTGTTTAGAAGTACAGTCGTGAATTTAAGCACAACTTGGTCTTGTGTTCTTAGCTTTTATGGTCAGTTCATAGCTTAATTCTTGAAACATGCAATACTGCAGCAGCAGAATTCAGCAGATCGGCATTACATTCTCTTTTCTTTTCCAGTATATTTATCTTCTTGCTGTTGTACGTTGGGGCCTTGTCTGATAATTGTTGAAAGCCTTGGACGGATTGGGTACTTGTACAAATATTTAAGTTTTTTTTTATTTATTTTTTTAATTATTTTTAATGTACTCCCACCGTTTTCTTTTGGTAATACTCCGTACCCATTTATTTTTGACATTGTTTTTCCTAGGAGAATTGAGTGTATAAAAGAAAGATTGATGAAGTAAGAGGGTAAAATATGGCTGTGCTTATAGAAAAAAGAGGGAGAAATATAGTACTTACCCAAAACAAAATAAAGTAGAAATTGATGCCTCAAATATTATTATCTCAAAATTATGTTCATATGATTATATCTTTAAGAAATACGAAGTATATCTTTTGGATACAAAGTGAGGAGTATGACATTTGAATTTTGAAACTAGTTGATCAATGGGCTTCCTGTGCTCATAAAGTCATAATGACTAGTAAATTGAGATAACACATGAAAAGGAAAAGGTAGATTCATTGAAGGCAAATGCACTTTAATTGAGGTTAGATTTTTTGGACCTACACTGAACTTACTGGTGATCAAATGAGTACAGACCATAAGTGATCTACCAGATATAAATTCTTGATTTAGGCAAATTTTCATTATATTATTGAAACACGGGTTAAAGTTATAAAAAAAAAAATAAAGTTACCCTTTATATAATATGAAAGTTACCATTTTTATAACAAAATTTTACGATTAAAAAATATTTATAATTTATTAGATTAATCATATCTATATACTATTTTAAAACAGGAACATTTACTTGATAATCATATGAAACAAACATTTCCCATATTAGTATAATCGCATATGGTTTTGTTTCAAAACCTGAGATTAGTGCGGTGCGATGCACGGTAGTAATAATCTTTTTCCCATAATGAATTTTGATATAATAATATAAAAATGAGGCAAATCATGTGGAATAACCAAATACAATGCATATAAAAAAATAAAATAATAAGACAAAATTCATTAAAACTACAATTGAGAAAGAAAAAAATTTATTGTTGATTAGTTGAATTGAAAATATTTAATAGTATACATTATATTACATTAATAATGCATATTATTCCCAATAAAACTATACGGAGTACAATCAAAACATTAATCAAAGACTTATTTATAAATGCCTTTTAATAAACATCAAAACATTAATCAAACAACAAACTAAAATTTACAGTAAAACTATTGGCACAACATACATGTAAATATATAAATTACAAATTAAATAATGTATCATCTTTATATCCAATAAAATAATTTCAATAGAAATAAATACTACTTAGATCATTAAAGGCAATAACAATCAATAATTAGGCAACACTAACTTATATTATTAGTTGTACATTTTCTGTCTATGGATTGATGCTCTACATGATATCGTCACTCTTTGTTATTATATAAAAATGTGTTTGAAAGCTATCCAATAATTCTAGTTTGATCATTGTTTGTTTATTGCCTTAAAATTTTATTTGTCGATGATAGCTATTTATCCAATAAAAATAAATAAAAAAAAAAAAAGAAACACAAGAATATGTCACTTGTCACTATGTCCAACGCGTTTTTTTTAAAATGCAGCTTATTTATGAATGTCGAATGTGATAAAATTAATATCTCAATAAAGTGTTTTAGCAAAAGATAATAACTTTTTTGTATTTACTAAGATATTAACTTTTTTAAAATAATGTAACAACAAAAAATTGATTGATATTTTACATTTTCGAATTAGACATATAATATAGTTGTCGAACACAACATTTATTTTATGGTCATATCTAATACTCCATTAGTCTAATAAACAAAATAAAAAGAAATTTGGAAAAAAAAAAAGTTAAAGTGATGTTTTAAAGTAATTTCTTTAATATCAATTACTTCGATATGAATCAATTTTATTATTACTTTTTCCGTAAAACTCAATAATACTCGTTAGAAAGATAATTATGAGTTGGAAAACTATTTTAGGTAAATGTGCATGGAAAATTTTAGAACACAATAAAGAGAAATACATTTTATATAGAGATAATATATAAGTTTGGAATAATATTATTATAGTTTTATTACAAAAATATTCCAAAATAAATTTTTTTTGCTAAAAGGGGAGGGGGAGTTTTGGAGGGAAAAAAGAGCACCAGGATGTGACACATGTCACTCCCAGTGTCTGTTTTAGTATAAAGTTATTGATTACACATTAAAATACAATCAAACTTATATACTTAATGGGGTTAAAGTTACCATAAAAATTGTTAAAGCTACCCTTAAATTGACCATTTTACAATAAAATTAACGTAAGTCCGCCTTACACAAAACTTATTGTATAAGACATCTACGCAGAAGTATTGATGCATAGAGCCTATGTGCCAATGAAACAAATAGGATGTCAATTTTGTGAATAATGGGAACATGAGAAAAAACAGTGGTGGAAAATTTTATGGCAAAAAGTACCACTACATACATAGTGGTACATTATAATACACAAAAATGTACCACTGTACCACTAAGAGAGAAAAAAAATAATAATAATAACCCCAAATAGCCCTCTCCTCCTATGTGCATGTGAAACACATAGGCTCTATACGCCGCACTCGAAATCTACCGATTGATGGGAATATCAACTTTTAACGATAAAATTATTTAGGATATTGGGATCCTTTTTTCATTTTTTAATTACTAATTAAATTTGGTCTAGTGATAAGGTTTGCATCTCATAACCATGAGGTTGTGGGGAATCAAACCCTACTAGAGGCACTTTGGGGTGGGGATTCCCTTACCCTTCCCCCCCCCCTCCCCCCACTTCTAAAGTGCCTAACCCGCTAACTCGGAGTGGGAGAACCTGTGAGAGGTTCTGGCCCGGTATGGCCCTTCTCTTTACCAAAAAAACAAACTTATAAGTTAAATGGTTGGCATCACATTCTGTTCAAGTTTCAATGAAAAAGTGGATTTAAGTAGCAATAATAATGGTTGTTTAGTTTTTAAGCCTTAAGGTAGTTTGTAAAACCCCTATTAACATAGGTATTAATTGACAAATTTTCTTATTCGATTTGGGATTAGAACATATATATCATGTTTTTTTCTTTCGAATTTGGGCAGCTCTTGATATATCAAAAGAAGTTATTTCTTTGTTCTTACATTTTGAAATTTGTATTTTTTTTATACCTATACCAAAAAATTTATTGACAATGATTCAATAAATTATTTGGATCCTTTTTTTTATTGGAAAAATTAAAACTAATAATCCCACCTTTAGGTCATCTTCTCAAAATAATTCCACCTTTTGAAATTTTGGAACTAATCCCACCTTATTACCCCATTCTCTCAAAATGGGCCATTGACCGGATCTCTAACTTGGTAACTTGTAGAAGTAGGTTACTTGCCACATGACAATTTCTAATCGGCCTAACTTTATTTATTTTTAATAATAAAAAAAAAAATTTAGCCCCTTATCTTCCCTTTCCTGTTCCTATTAGGGGTGAGCATGGGATGGATACCCGCACCGTTATTACTAACGGTTCGGGTAACCGATAACCAATATTACTAAAAGTGATATCCATTAACCGAACCGATAGGTTTGGTTACTCGAAATTCGAGTACCCGGATTTTCGGATGGGTTATCGGGTACCCAATAAGATATCCAATAATGATAATTAAACTTAATAATGTAGTTATTATGATATCATTACACTAATTAACAACAATAACACATGATCTTAACCAAATTATTTATAATATTACTAATCATTGATATTATAAAGTGATTATGAAGTAAGGTAAGAGTTTAAATTTTGAAAAAATAGATTTAAGTAGGAAAAAAAACGACTTTTTCACCATATACCCTTGAGTTATTTTTTTTATTCACCATATACCCAACGTTTTTTTCAAATTTACCAAAAACACTTAAGTTTTAAAATATTATCACCAAATGCCCTTAATAACTAACGGCAGCTAACTTCGTTAGTCATTAAGGCTAATTATGCCACGTGGCAACCTGTGATTGATGTTCATTTAAATTAAATAAATTTAAAGATAATTATTTAATTAATTATCAAAAAATAAAAAAACCACCCACCTTAACCCAACCGCAGCCACCGCCACCACCCTATCCCCGTGAAACCCCCAACCGGCGTCGAATCTGCCAGAACTCCCGCTCCGGCGCCACCTTGACCTCGACACCCAACCGTCGGTACCCCAAAACTTCCCCTAAACCACCACACTATTTAATCGAACACCCACTCCTTTCTCCCTCGAAAAATGCACCCCTCCCCATCGCCGGTGTCCAATCATGCTTCCTCGCGCCGGCGAACCCCACGCCATCTCCCCCTGCCCCTCCCTCTGCCATCTCCACCCCCAGAACTACCACGCCAAAACCCCAAATTAAAAAACCCTAAAATCGAAATCTAGGGTTTCGATGTAATACCATATATTTTACGATTTGATAAAATATAAAATTAGAGTTTTTATATATACATATATATTATTTTGACAAAATTTATATTTTATTAAGGATTTTTAATCTCTTTTATGAGAGGGTATAAATACCCCCTCACCCTAATAATCTTCACTAAGAAGTGTTCAGCCGTAAGTTTGGATTTAACCCATAAATCTTATAACAAAACTTTATTTAACTTTATTTTTCTCATAGTGTTGTCATGCGTAATAAGCCTACATGTATGAACACATTTTTGGTTTGCTCGATCGTCAATCGCAACCATCGTTTATTATACTTGAAGTTATAGCATAGTTCGTTGTTTCATGGATCTTTGACCGTGTTTCAATGTCTGAGTATCGATCATAAGGTAATCACACGAATTTATTAATCTTGGAGTTGTATGTTTATAATTTATTGTCTCGTAATCACACAAACCTATTTGGAGATGTTTGTATTATTATAATATGTAATCACACCAATCTTAATCTTTGAAGTTGTTTAATTATAAATTATTGTTTGTATTGATTG